CGATGTCGTTGATGGCCTGTGTCTGCGCAATGTGCAACACCCCGTCAGCTGGTGACGTCAGGTGAAGGCCCAGGTACCAGGTGAGCGGGCCCAGGTCCTCTGCCTCGAAGCTCTCCTTGATCTGCTGCTTGCAGGCACGGATGTGGCGCTCGCTGCTGCCGCTGATGATGAGGTCGTCGACGTACGTGATGATCCATGTGCGCTGTCCGTCGTCGTGGAGCTTGGTGAAGAGGCAAGCGTCGACGTTGCTTTGCGCCCATCCGTTGGTCTTGAGGAAGGTGTGCAGCTTCTTGGCCCATGCACGGCCAGCTTGCTTGAGGCCGTAGAGCGGCTTGAGCAGCCGGCACACCTTGCCCGCGTAGCGTTGAGCGCCGTCGCCGATGTCGGTGAAGTGCGGCGGCAGCTCCATGTACAGCTCCTCCTTGAGATCAGCCTGCAGGTAAGCCGACTTGAAGTCGAGCTGGTGCAGCTGGTGCTGTCGTTGCAGGGAGACGGCGAGCACAGTGAGGATGGTCTTGGCTGCTGGTGTTGGGGCGTAGGTCTGGTCGAAGTCGATGCCTGGTCGTTGGCTGAAGCCCTTGGCGACCCAGCGTGCCTTGAAGCGCGTCGGCGCGCCCTCAGCATCACGCTTCACCTTGAAGACCAAGCGTGACTTGAGAGGCGTGTGCTGCCGTGGCACGACGCTGCGTGGGATGAGCTTGATGACGCCGTTGCGCTCCATGGCCCCGATCTCCTCCAAGCATGCCTGAGTCCACTGCTTGCGTTGCTGGCTCTTGAGTGCCTGCTTGATGCTTGCAGGCTCCGTGAGGCTGGTGTCGTCACTGCTGCTTGCTGTGAACGCGCCTGCCTCGGTGTCGCTTGCATCTGTTGTGTCTGGATCGTAGTTGGCGTCGTTGGTGTCGCTGCTGCTGTCGTCGTCAAGTCCGTGAGCAGGAAGTCTGTCTCGACATCATCGTCCTGGTCCTCGTCGATGTGAACTGTTGGTTGCTCACCGTCAGTGGTGCTGTTGCTGCTGTCACGTGCACTGGGAAGCTGGAGCATGGACGATGTCGTGGATGTCTGCACTTGCTCCTCCGCCTCATCCACGACATCATCGGCCTTGGAGAAGGGAAGGAAGCGGACGTGGATGGAGGACACAACGGTGTTTGTGTCTGCGAAGTAGACGAGGTGGCTGTTGCTGCTGCTGTTGTGGCCGACGTAGATGCCTCGGCGGCCCTTGGGCTGCAGGCGTCCGCGCTGTGTGCTGATGTGGACGACGGCCGGCTGCCCGAAGACGTGCAGCTGCGGCACGTGCTTGGGCAGCGAGCCCGTGACAATCTGCAGCGGTGTCTTGCCGTGGAGGGAAGGGCGAGGCATGTTGTTGAGGATGTGGAGGGCGTGGTTGCAGGCGAGGCTCCAGTACGATGCGTCGAGGCCTGCACCCGTGATCATGGCTCGCACCATGTCGGAGAGGGTGCGCACCTGTCGCTCGACGATGCCATTCTGCGCCTGGGTGTACGGCGGGGACTGCTGGTGCTGCTTCAGGTGCTTCTTGACGATGGCCTGGAAGTCAGCTCCGAGGAAGATGGCATCGGAATCCGTCTGGAGTGCTGTTGTTGTGGGTGAGATGGGGAGCTTGGTCTCGCGCAGGAAAGACTGGAACGCGGCAACTGCGTCCTTCTTGGCATTGAGATGGACTGCATGCAGGAGCTTGCTGCCCTCATCGACGATGACGAGGCTGTAGCGCTTGCCCGTGGGTGAGTCCGCGGTCCAGTCGACGATGTCGGCGTGGATGCGCTCGCCGGGCACCTGTGTGCGCTCCGCGTGCTTGCTGACGCTGTGACGAGTGCTCTTGGTCACTGCGCACGTTGTACACTGCTTGCTGCTGATGGCGTTGCGATCGTCGATGCCCATCAGCTTGCAGTACTGCTGCACGTCGTTGTCGTTGCGGTGGCCAAGTACCTCATGCATCGATGGT